GCTAGTGGTAAAGAACCTACCTGTCAATGCAGGAGATGTAAAAGACCAAGGTTCAATTCCTGGGTCGGGAAGATCCCCTGGAGGAGGGCATGGCAACCCACTCCAGTATTCTTGCCTGGGAAATCCCATGGACAGAGGAACCTGGTGGTCTACTGTTGTGGTCCTTTAATGGACCGGAACCTGGTGGTACGGAGTCGACGATAAGAAAGTAAAAGAGAGAAAGAGGCTGATAGTCCCTGGTTTATGCAGAGGACCAATAAAGCCCTTGACACAGGACTTGCACCACTCACGAAGGCACCAGGTGCCCTCTCGAGGGGGTCTTAGAAGCCCGGGCAAGAAAGTGAGCACGACGGGTTTCCACGCTCCAGAGAGTCAGCCAGAAAAAAAACAGAGAGAGAGAGAGAGAGACAAAAAAAGACCCAGGGACGTAAGCTCTGATGGAGCAAAGGTGCTTTAATGATTTTTCTATGAGTGTATATAGGCTGTGGTACAAGAAACTTCTTTCGGGAATGATAGAGATCAGAAAACCAAACGTACAGCAACCGTTACCAAGGGAACAAGGGGTAATGTTAGTCACAAGGTCAGGAGACAATCCATAACTCAAGAAAGGGGAGCAAGACTAAGCAGTTTTGTCCTAAAGAGAATGTTTACTAAAGGAGAGCAAGCCTGCCTCACACAATGACCTCAGGCCCTGGGAGCAGCGTGCTGTTCTGCTTGAAGAAGGACAAAGGACTCACAAGAGTCAAACATTCCCTGACAGTCTACAAGTCCATAGGGTTGTGTTGGGATCCAGTCCCAGCAGGATCCAGGGGAACCCTCAGGATGAACAGCGTTGGTGAATGAGAGAGAGACAGTGAGACAAAGCTGGGGGCTGAGTCTGAAGTTTATTTTTGCACTGCCCCTTTATACCCTTAACAACATCTTTTTGGAGGAAGTGCATATTGCTTACACACAGGTCATCTCAAAACACTAAAGCAACTTGACCTTCAACAGAAACAGGATGTCACTCACATACTTTTCATTCACGAGTCTTTCTTATCATTTGGGCTGCAGGCCTGCTAACATTTTATGGCTTGCATCTGGTGTGACTTAAGCAACTTCAGTAGCCAACCCTGTTTTTCTTGTGATTAATCTATTTTCTTTCTAATAGGCGTCATCTCCATGGGAACTAGATAGGATAACATTATTACGGAACAGAAATGCGAAGGACTGAAAAAACAGCAGATATAGCACAAAACAGGCTCTTAATCTAAAAGTTAACTACCTGCAAGAAGTCACCAGCTAATCTCTATCTAAAGTATTTTCTATTAGGCACATTTGTGACTATTATTTGTGGAGCTTTTCTCACCCCCATGGAGGGACCTATGCTTAATATTTTCTTTTGTTAGCATACTGTGCTTAGGATGTTTAGAAAAATCATGAGCATTTTTTTGCAATAGGAGCATACATTTATCAAACAAGCCAGAATGCCAGTAAAAGGGTTTGAATTGAAGCATCTCCTTCATCCCTGGCCCCTTCATAGGGTACCAGCGTCCAGATTTTTTAGTTAGCTTTTTAAGTCGGTCTTTATTCAGTGAAAGAGGAGCAGGAGAGGTCTCAGCAGGCAACACAAGAATCCGCAGCAGGGCGAACAAGAACAACAGCAGAAAAGGGGGGAGGACACAGGGTGGGGCAGAGGCCGAGGCCAACCTGGAGGGTCCCTTGTATCCTGAACAGCCTCGTGTGCCAGGTTTTTCCCTCATGACCTCGTCATGGGTGGGATCCTGAATGGCCTTGCCTGTCAGGTATTTTCTTCATGACCTCGTCATGGGTGGGATGTCCCATAATGGCGCCCGGCAGGGTGGCACACAGTACGACACAACTGAAGGGACTTGGCCTGCTGGCACCCTCTGAAGACTACAAAAAGTCTGGCCAAGCCAAGCCACTTCTCTTAACAGGGCTTCTGGTGAATAGTTCCTCCATCATTTGATGCATGTATCAACAGCGTATTTGTAGTGCCTAAAGTGTCCCTGAAGAGATAGGCAAAGATACACTTTATATTTTTGAGCACTGAGGTTGGTCCCAGTTGTACAAGGACTACCTTAGCTTGCATTTTAGACTTTCTGTATTGTTTCCAAATGTTTCAAGCCATTGTATTAAGTTGGCCAAAAAGTTCAGTTGGGTTTTTCCATGACATGTATGAAAAATCTGAATGAACTTTTTGGTTAACCCAGTATTAGTTTTCTAAGACTGCTGTAACAAATTACCATAAACTGGGGGTCTTATAACAATAGAAATTTATTCTTGCACCTTTCTGGAGCCCAGAAGTTTGAAATCAGGCTCTGGAGAAGAGCCCCGCCTTTTTCTTCCAGCTTCTGGTGCCCCAGGAACGTCTTTGTTTGGACCGCATACTCCAGTCTCGGCCTCATCTTCACACACCCGTCTTCTCTGTCTCTTCTCTTCTGATGATGTCACTCATGTTGAATTAGGGCCCATCCTAATGATCCTACCTTGAACACACCTGTAAAGACCCTATTTCCAAATAAAGCGTGAGGTGGGATGTGGGAGGATCTTCTTTGGGGACATGGTCAATCTACACAAGCCATGATTACTATTATTATTAAAAAACCAAACTGTTCACTTTGCAACATTCTTCAGGCAACTTGTCTGGTCTCTTTCAAACATCAGTGTTATGAAAAATTGCAGGTGACTGTTTAAGAATAAACGAGATTTAAGAAATAGAACCAAAATGCAATGTTTGAAACTTGACTGGATCCTGGTTTGAAAAAAATCTGCAGAAGACTCTTTTTATGTTGACAACTGGTGAAATTTAAATATAGCCTAGCTACCAGATAATATTAGGGATTTACTGTGAATTTCCTGTGATACTGTGATTGTGTTGGACAGGTTGTTACTCTTTTCTAAATTAATTAATTAATTAATTTCTCGCTGCACTCAGTCTTCCTTGTTGCTTGTGGACTTTCTCTGGTTGATGTGAATGGGGGCTACTCTCCAGTTTCGATGCACGGGCTTCTTGATGTTCTGGTTTTTCTTGTTGAAGAGCATGGGCTCTGGGGCACACCAGCTTCAGCAGTGGTGGCACATGGACTTAGGAGCTGCGGCTCCCTGGCTCTTGAACACAGACCCAATAGTCATGGAGCATGGGCTTAGCTTCCAACAACACAAGAGAAGACTCTATGCATGGACATCACCAGATGGTCAATACCGAAATCAGATTGATTACATACTTTGCAGCCAAGATGGAGACGCTCTATACAGTCAGTAAAAACAAGACACGGAGCTGACTGTGGTTCAGATCATGAACTCTTTATTGCTAAATTCAGACTTAAATTGAAGAAAGTAGTGAAAACCACTAGACCATTCAGGTATGACCTAAATCAAATCCCTTATGATTATACAGTGGAAGTGACAAATAGATTCAAAGGATTAGATCTGATAGAGTGCCTGATGAACTATGGACAGAGGTTCATGACATTGTACAGGAGGCAGTGATCAATACTATCCGCAAGAAAAAGAAGTGCAAAAAAGGAAAATGGCTGTCTGAGGAGGTCTTACAAATAGCTGTGAAAAGAAGAGAAGTGAAAAGCAAAGGAGAAAAGGAAAGATACACCCATTTGAACACAGAGTTCCAAAGAACAGTAAGGAGAAATAAAAAAGCCTTCCTCAGTGATCAGTGCAAAGAAATAGAGGAAAACAATAGAATGGGAAAGACTAGAGATCCCTTCAGGAAAATTAGAGATACTAAGGGAACATTTCATGCAAAGATGGGCTCAATAAAGGACAGAAATGGTATGGACCTAACAGAAGCAGAAGATATTAAGAAGAGGTGGCAAGAATACACAGAAGAACTATACAGAAAAGACCTTCATGACCCAGATAATCATGATTACTCACCTAGAGCCAGACATTCTGGAACGTGAAGTCAAGTGGGCCTTAGGAAGCATCACTACAAATAAAGCTAGTGGAGGTGATAGAATTCTAGTTGAGCTATTTCAAAACCTAAAACATGTGCTGTGAAAGTGCTGCACTCAATATGTCAGCAAATTTGGAAAACTCAGCAGTGGCCACAGGACTAGAAAAGGTCAGGTTTCATTCCAATCCCAAAGAAAGGCAATGCCAAAGAACTTTCAAACTACTGCACAATTGCACTTATCTCACACACTAGCAAAGTAATGCTCAAAATTCTCCAAGCCAGCCTTCAACAGGATGTGAACCATGAACTTCCAGATGTTCAAGCTGGTTTTAGAAAAGGCAGAGGAACCAGAGATCTAATTGCCAACATCTGTTGGATTTTCAAAAAAGCAACAGAGTTCTAGAAAAACATTTATTTCTGCTTTACTGACTATGCCAAAGCCTTTGACTGTGTGGATCACAATAGACTGGAAAATTATTCAAGAGGTGGGAATACCAGACCACCTGACCTGCCTCTTGTGAAATCTGTGTGCAGGTCAGGAAGTAACAGTTAGAACTGGACATGGAACAACAGACTGGTTCCAAGTTGGGAAAGGAGTACGTCAAGGCTGTATATTGTCACCCTGCTTATTTAACTTATATGCAGAGTACATCATGAAAAATGTTGGGCTGCATGAAGCACGAGCTACAACAAGATTGCCAGGAGAAATATCAATAACCTCAGATATGCAGATGACACCACCATTATGGTGAAGAACTAAAGAGCCTCTTGATGAAAGTGAAAGAGGAGAGTGGAAAAGTTGGCTTAAAGCTCAATATTCAGAAAACTAAGATCATGGCATCTGGTCCCATCACGTCATGATGAATAGATAGGGAAACAGTGTCAGACTTTATTATTTTGGGCTCCCAAATCACTGCAGATGGTGACTGCAGCCATGAAATTAAAAGACGCTTGCTCCTTGGAAGAAAAGTTATGACTAACCTAGACAGTATATTAAAAAGCAGAGACATTACTTTGCCAGCAAAGGTCCATCTAGTCAAGACTATGATTTTTTTTCCAGTAGTCATGTATGGATGTGAGAGCTGGACTATAAAGAAAGCTGAGTGCTAAAGAATTGATGCTTTTGAACTGTGGTGTTGGAGAAGACTCTTAGAGACCCTTGCACTGCAAGGAGATCCACCCAGTCCACCCCAAAGGAAATCAGTCCTGAATATTCATTGGAAGGACTGATGTTGAAGCTGGAACTCCAATACTTTGGCCATCTGATTTGAAGAACTGACTCAAAAAAAAAGAACTGGCTCATTTGAAAAGACCCTGATGCTGGGAAAGATTGAAGGCGGGAGGAAAAGGGACGACAGAGGATCAGATGGTTGGATGGCATCACTGACTCAAAGGACATGAGTTTGAATAAACTCCAGGAGTTGGTGATAGACAGGGAGGCCTGGAGTGCTGCAGTTCATGGGGTTGCAAAGAGTTGGACATGACTGAGTGACTGAACTGAACTGATGGGCTTAGCTGCCGAGAGCCATGTGGGATCTTCCTGGACCAGGGAAGGGATGGGTGTCCCCTTCATTGCAAGGTGGATTCTTAATCACTGGACCACCACAGAAGCCCACAGGTTGTTATTCTCAGGAGATGAAACTCGGTAGAGTTTTATAATGTCTGCATCCTACTGACACAAATTTCAGGGGAGAAAAAATACACCTCAATACAAAAGAAGCTAACAGAGCAGAAATTTTGAATCTAGATGACTGATCCTGTCATGCCCATGATTAAAACATTTCCACATTATATGCAGTTACTGTAACTTGACTTTAGACTTCTAAAACATAAAATTTTAGAACATTTATCATATACTTTAAAGAAGTGAAAAACCATTTATGAGTTTTCAATGAACTCATTTCATCTTTCAGGTTTGCTGGGTTTGAAAATTTTCATAGTAAAATTTTGGGAAGAAAAACTACTCAATAACAACAACAAAGCTTTCCAACAACTGCCAGTTATGCGGGATAAGACACAACAGTCGTGGGCACAATGGCTGACTCCTGCATCCCCCCTCGTATCCCCCTCCCACCTACAATCCGGTAACACCAAGGTACCATTCGCCTTTACCCTTCTTCCTTTCTTTGCCACCAGGTGCTGTTGACCATCCCCCCCTCCCCAGCTCCAGGTCAGAGGTCACCCTTTGCGATTCAGGCCGTCCCCACTCGGCAGAGCCCCTCACCGGCCTGTCCTTGAGCGGTCCTCCCTGCTCTTGGAATCCGCACTGGCACTCCTTAGGAGTTCCACAAGTGTTTGCCGAGAGGAAGTTCATCCAGCTTTGCCATTCAAATCCTCCTCAGGTTGCATGTTTTCTCCAAAATAGTCAATTTCCAAGCATTTTTGAGAATTCGTAACGGCTAACCGGGTGCCGGCGCGGTGTCGGGGCCACCTGTATGGGCTGGCAGGCTGGCTGTCCCCAGAATCAGCGCTCTCGCCACTGTAGACTCGCCTGCGGGGGCCGTAGTGCTCCCCGCCCGGGGTCTAACTCGAGCTCGCGCAGCGCCCTTCGGTGCATGCAGTCAGGTGCCGCCTCTGTCCTCTCGCGAGGTCACCACCAGGAGGACCCCACCGCCTGCTGGACGTGACCAACCACCTGGGAAAGGTCACACCCCAACCGGCCCCGCCCCAAGGCGCCCTAGCCCCGCCTCCTGCCGCCACACGGCCCGCCCACCGCCCATAAGGCCCGCCCACCACCCCTAAGGTCCGCCCCTGCAGCTACACGGCCAGGCCCCTGTTCCCAACAGGTCTGCCCTTGTTCCCACCTGGTTCTCCCACTCTTTCCTCACGACCCGCCCACTGTTCCCACAAGGCCCGCCCCCTGCCTCCATAAGCCACGCCCACTGTTCCCATAGGTCCCGCCCCCTGCTCCCTTATGGCCCAATGGGCACCGACGCGGTTCCAACCGGGCCGGACGCTGAACGGCCGTTCACGGCTACGCGGTGACGTCAGTCGCCGACGCACCTGTCGGCCCTGCTCGAGCCGCTCCTGTCCGCTTCCCCGGGTCGGTGGGTCGGACCGGACGATTCGGAACCGCAGCCCTTCCTGCGGTACCGTCCGCCTGTGGCTGGAGTTGGGCCGAGTGCCGAGGAGGGGTGCTGGTGGCCGGCCGCTCCAGTTTCTCCCCGAGTTGGAGCATGGCTGCAGCTGTGGTCCCTCCAGAGGGAGGTGAGCTTTAAGGCGGTCGTGTTTGATTCTGGGCAGCAGCGGGTCGAGTCCAGGGCCCCAGAGCCGGCGGCTCCAACTTGATGCGGCTCCCGCCTGGCTGAGCCCTGTGGGGTCGCGGTCGCGGTGGGGCTGGGCGCGCCGGCCGCCCTCAAATGCGGAGCCCGCCGGCGGCGCAGGACGCGGCCCCGGGGCTGCTCTGCCTCTGAGCGGCGAGGTGAGTGGCGGCGGCGGGCGGGGGCCGGGAGCCGGCGGGGCCGGCGTCGCTTGCCTAGCCATGATCCTGGGACGGGTTGGCCTGCGGGACGCTGACCCCGCCAGCGGCAGGTGTGGCCCGAGACTGTTCTTGAAGCTTGCACCTGCTTTCTTCAGAAACTGCCAAAAGACCTTTGAACAGAGTGGAAGTAGGTGCCAGGAAGAGATTGTGGGTTTCACTTTCGCAAAATTTGCCCAAATATACACTTACTGTTTAGTGTCACTTTTTAAAAGATTTATGTGTATATCAAGCCATAGTTTGTGTGTATACATAGCATTTGTGTTTTGATCTTAAACTTGGACTGGAGACCACCGTAGACACAAATTGATTTTGTATATTATGTGCTCTATTTGCACAGCATTTTAAAACTGGAGCGCATAGAAGACAATTATGTACACCTTATACATATTAGAGGCTGAAATGTGTGTTTCCTTTGGAAGAAAATTCTTTTTTATGAGGTAACTTTTTTTATGAGTACACTTTATTTTTTTTTTTTTGATAATTCAGAAGTTCAGTTCTGCAAACTATAAACTTTTTGAGCCATGCATTTCAATTCCTGCAGCATCATTGTGGTTTATGTGGTTTATTCAACAATCAAAGGATTGTTGAGTCTTAACATAAATAATTTGATGTCAGTCCATTTTACTTGCTTTGTGAGTCACTAGAAAATACTGTGTAGCAGGAGAGGACATACAGGAGTTAAAAGCACCTGTATAGATGGTTGATTTTCACCTTAAAAGGTGCCACTCCTGATTGTTTTTTTGTTACACAATAAGGCTTAAAAGTCAGGTGTGTGCCGTACAGATATTTACTCAGATTAAGCCTGCAGTTTATGACCTGTGGTTGATAGGAACAGCCTATTATTGGCAGAACCCAGGCCAGATTGCATCTCCTCTCACACCTTACCCCACACACTCTTCGAAGACTGATTCTTTGTTTGAAAAACACCTGAAATTATTTTAAGAGGTCAATATGAATGTATAGTACATACATCTTTAGTTGGAACTTGTGTTTTATTGTGTATTTTCAATCATACATAGCTCATTAGGAATGCAAATGACTTAACCTAGCTTTGGATAGATCCAGTTTAGGGGAAAGGTTTGCTCAGGTTATGGTTTTGTGCTAGTGAGTTGGCTGTTTTCCAGCTCATGATGGTGATAGGCTTTCCATTTCCTGTTGTGACCTGTTGGTAATAATTTTCAGACTGCTCAGGAAGCCAGACTTGATCTCTGTGGTGGGTCAGAGGCCAGAGCAGCATCCTGGGAAGCTGCGCCACTGTCACTGCTTTGTGGAACTTTCAGCTTAGTTTCTAGTCAAAACTTTTTAGCAGGGACCTAAAATATGATAAGGGTTAGCATTTACTGAGCAAATTCTGTGGTTCAGGATCTTTCTGAAGTGGTTTTGTGTATTATTTGAGTTCTCATGTCAGCTCCTTGGAGTAGGTACTTTGATTTTTTCCCATCATAGAGATGTGGAAACATGCATAGAGGATCTGAATACCTTGCCCAAGGTCTCAGTCAGTGTCAGAATGGAGACTGAAGCCTGACACTGTGATTTCAGACCTCTTGCTGTCAGTGGCTGCACTTCAAGGCAAGTAAGACTCAACAAAATACTAGAAGAAAAGGTAGGGTGAGACAGATGGTATCATAGGTCCATTCATTCTTCAATATGAAAGTAATATAAAATCGTAGAAGCTCTGGAGTATCCTTTTTTAAATTCTTCTTCCACAACTCTAATAAACTGTTGTTTTTTTTTAAATTATACTTTCACATGTGTATTTAAACACAGTAGCTATGATACATTTTGATTCTTAAAGATCAGTGTTCTTCAGTTAAGAATAAAATGAAAGATGAACCTACATGAGGAAATATTTGCATTGCTGAAATATAGAGAGATTTGATCTGCAACTTTGATTGCAACGAAGTCAGGTAAACATATTTCTTGCCCTCATGGGAAGTAGTTAAACAGTTTCTGTCTTATAAAGTCATGAAAATTAGTTTTCAAAGTGTACGTCTTCCACAGCATCTTATTGTTGGGTTGTTTACCTTTTCACTTGTGATAGTCTGAGCTTTGTACTTGTGTGTGTTTTTCCTTTTAAAATCATCTGGCATTTAACTTTTTTACTGGATCTAAAAAATATTTTGAATCTAGGAAATTTTCTTCAGAATAGATAGCCGCCTCCTTTAGCAGGTTATGCATTTAGTACTTTTTTGAAGAAAAATATAAAAGGTGCAGCAATTTAGACATGCAGCTATCTTAATGGACAGTAGGATAAAATGTCAACAAATGTTACATTGGGAAGAAATCAGTTTAATTATCCTTGTTTCTTATAAGTACTGACTATTTGTATCAGGATACATTCTTTAATCTGGTGATGTTCTGATGTCGTGATCGACGTTTCATGATGTAAAGGATAGAGGAACCGTTCCTTTGTAAAATAGATTTGTTAAAAACTGTTAATAAGTTTTGTTTTCTCAAGAAGCTTTCTCATGCTCTTAGCCTTGATGTTTCTGGGGGTGTGTGTTTTATTACCCAAACTTATTTGACCGTGAACCTTGTGTTGGACTTGTGCATAAACTCTCTCATCCGTAAATGTCTTTGTTACCCTCTTGACTCTATAGCTTGATTCATGCCAGTGCTTTTGCTTCAGCTAACTAACCTCTTCTCTCATCTCTGCCCCACTGAGGTCCCACCTTTTTTTTTTCCCAGCTGTGTCATGGTGGCTTGTGAGAGATTAGTTCACCGCCCAGGGTTTGAACTCGGGTCCCCACCAGCACTGGAAGCTCTGAGTCCTAACCTCTGGACCACCAGGGAATACCCCCCTCCCCCATTTTTAAGATCCAGGTCGTGTATCTCTTCCAAAGAATGCTTGTCATCATCAGCTACAGTCGGATGTGGTCTTCTCTCTGAACTCTTCAAACAGTTCTGGTGTCTTTTGTGATGTGTGTCCCCTTTTATTATATGGATACTTACAAATTTGTAGGAAAAAGTTATCATATCCCTGAGGACAGTAGGAAGTGTAATTTATGCCACCAATCAATAAAAATTTTATTTATATTTTATTTTATTTTTACAGTTTCTGGTACATGAGCTGCTGTTTTATAAGCTTCAGTAAAGGAGTAAGTGATTCTGTTGAAATTCACGGTCACATTTTAATCTTGGACAAATATCTTGCTCACTTAGCTCCTGAGATGTTTCTACCAGAAAGCTCCTTGGGGCCAAGTGGTAGATCACTCAGGGTTTTCCCTCACTGCTGTCGTCGAGCCTGAGACTTGGGTTCATCTCTCTGGTTGCTGACATCTGGGATTTTCTTTTCTCTCCAGTTGTGCCTGCTGTTCTGTCAGATAGCTGACAGACCCGCCTTGGAAGCTTAGCGGTGGTCCTCAGCCCCCGCCCCCCACACCCCCAGTTCCCCTGATGAGAAGCCAGAACCTTGTTGGGAGTTCTGGAGAGGCAGCGTACCTCCCTCAGCTCTGGGCCCCTGAGCCGCACGTCCCGTCTCCCTTGTTCTGCTCCCCAGCCCCCAGTTCAGGGAGCACATCGGTGCTCAGTCACCATCCCCTTCTCTAGTCTGGCCTTGGCCCTGCGCGTGGAAAGCACGCGCTGGTGCTCAGGCCTGTAAGCTTCGGGAGACGGCGCTTTGTTTCTTCCAACTCTTGAATCAGTTAATCAAGCCAGAGACCAAGCGGGTATCCAGACCTCGCATGCTCCCTGCTCGCATTCTGTTAGTTACCATGGCCTCCTCCGTGGTCCTGACAGCCCTTCCTGCTGTCACGTCACTGTGACTCGGTGCAGTGATGCCCTCATTGTGTTATACTCAGGCTTGCTGAAGGGGCCCCTGGAGTAAGGGACCCCGGACTCCTCCCCAGAGCTGGTCTTCAGTCTCCTGCCCTTCTCCTCTGCCCTCCACACTGCCGCTGCGGTTGGCTTGTTAAAGTTCACTTCCGATCAGGTGACTTCTCTTAAAAGACTTTGTGGTTTACCATGTGTTGACCTGAGTGAGTGAATTGGTTCCTCGGCAGAACCCAAGAGCCCCTCCCTGTTTCTGGGTGCCTCCCCAGCTGCCCTCTAGTCCCCACCTCTTACACGAGCTGACTGAGCAGGTCGTATGACGCTGCTTTTTCCCCTCATTGCCTTGTCGCCTCACGGTTGGCCTAGTTAATGCATCCTGGTCCTGCAGTGCTCGTGTCCTCTTCAGCGTTTGCAGACGTTCCCAGGCAGCAGCGTGTTCCTGCGTGTTCTTGCCGCCGCCTGTACTTACTCTGTACCTCTCCTCTGCGCTTCTCACTTCGTGCCGCCGCCTGTACTCGCCACGTGCCTCTCCTGCGCGCTTCTCATGCCGTGTGTAGTTGCATGTGTGCCTTTCACCTTCACCATCTTGGAAATAGGGACTTCTTCTTACTCAGGACCCCAGCACATGCTGAGTGCTCAGCAAAATGTTTGTCAAATACATTAATCAGTAACTCGTAAAACTGACTTTGCCTACTAGGTAAATGGTGATGCTGTAAACTGGGATAGTGAGGCGGGAGGACAAGCAGGTTTGTGTTCAGCTTAGGTCTCGTTGAATCTGAGTTGTCATACATCATCCAGGTACAGATATATTAGTTTGTTATCCACACCATAGACAGTTAACTGATCCAGGAAAATTCTGTAGATACAGATGGACTATTCTAAAGTATGGAAAAGCAAAGGAACTAGAATAACAAAAACAATTTCGGGAAATAAGAATCAGGTGTGAGAAATCAACCTCTCCAACGTCAGGAGCTCCAGTAGTCGGTACTGTGTGTTATTGCTGTAGGTGTAGAGACAGATCAACAAAACAGAACAGAGAACTCTGAAACAGAACAGAGGGCTTTGAAACAGATTCACACAAATAAGCCCAACTAATTTTTAGCAGAGGCCGCAGAACAAGTCAGCGGGGGGAAGATAACCATCTTGGCAAGTGGTCCTGGAGCAGCTGGACATCACACGTCCAGAAACCAGCTTCAGCCTGTGTCTTGCCACTTACACAGACGTCCACTCA